CTGAAAGATAGAAAAAAGCGATTGTCAAATGGATCAAGAAGACTGTCCTGGGCTGCTTTGACACCAGTCTTCCCCGTCCCTGTACCTTCCAGATGTGTTAGGCTATGAACTCCGCAACCGAGCTGGGGATGATGGGAGTTGTTGATCCAACACATCTGGGAGATACCAGCTTGGAAGAGATCGTTTTACAGGTTAGTGGGCAGCGAATCATAGAAAGAGGGTATCGCTGGCCCAGAGCGAAAGGATTTTCACGACAGCTTGAGCTGCCTGGAGGAGGGGAATTCCCAAGTGGTTTGCAGAAGCCAGTCTGTCTGAGTGGCTTGGATGGAGAAGAATGAAAGAACACACTGCCTTCTTCAATCATTCAGCAGAACGGAAACTGTGGAAACCTAACCTTCTCCTTGGGATGGCAGCTATCCTGACCCATCTTTCAAGGGCTAATTAGCCAGCTGGAGGCCTGTCTTGCCCTGTCCATCGCTGACGGCCAGAAAGAGAGGCAGAGGATGCCCAACACAAGGCCAAAGGGGTCAGAAGAATTTGCCCCAAGCTCCCTGCTGAATGTGGGCCCCAAGGCTGTATTTGTGGACCTCAAGACCTTCGATTCCACCCCCAAAAGTGGAATGAGAGATGAGAGATGACTTACCTTTTAAATAGGTTTTACAGGTTGCATCTCCCGTAACCAGAGTTCTGAAATCCAAAATATTCCAAAATCCAAAATTGTCCACAGGGGTGGCTGAGGATAAGTGATGCCTTTGCTTTCAGCGTACCCAAATTTTGCTTCATGCACAACGTTATTTGAAATATTGTGGATAAAATTACCTTCAAGCTATGTGTAAACAGTCTATAAGGAACATATATGAATTTCTTGTTTAGACTTGGGTCCTGTCTCCCAGAGACAGTATTGCAAAGAGATCTTGTAGCACCTTTGAAACTAACTGAAAGAAGTTGGTAGCATGAGCTTTTGTAGACTTGAACCTCCTTCCTCAGTTGCATGTAGATTTAGAAGTAGGCGCAAGTCTATGAAAGCTCATGCTACCCACTTCTTTCTTCCAGTTAGTCTCAAAGGTGCTACAAGATCCCTTGGCATACTGTTTTTTTTTCAGATCAAAATGCAATGTTTTTGAATTCTATCATTATATGCAAAAATTCCAAAATCTGAAAAAATCTGACATCCACAACACTTCTGGTGTCAAAGCATTTTGAACAAGAGAGACTCAGCCTTCAACACCTATTCATCCCATAGTGCATTGTTTTGCTCTGGTCAGACCTAACCTAGAATATGTGTCCACTTCTGGGCACCACAATTTAGAAAGGATGCTATAATTGCATAGTATGAAAGAACCCAGAGTTCTGTGCTTTGGCTGCCATGGAGAGGAAGGCTCTGTTTTGACAGATTGCCGATGATTACAATCAATATGTCTGAGCACATATTGAGAATGGACTAGAGGAGGGTGACCTTTAGTGCTCTGTCCTGGAGCTTCCCAAACCATCTGACCAGCCACGGCTGGGCTCTTAATCCTACTCTCAAAGGGCCTTTGATTTGACCTAATAGGCCGGTTTGTCTGTCCTTCTCTTAAATGGTGTCCTAGACAAGCCACAAGGATGAATGAAACTCCATATGGAAAAGATAAACACCGAGACAACTGGTGCCGAAACGGAGCATATTTCACGTCTCCTCTGAAAAAGCACCCTGAGCAAAACAGCGGCCTCCGTCCCAGCTGCCATCCCCTCATCCATCCCCACATCCGACATACCCAAAGTCCGTTGTGGAGACCATGGCTGATTGACACCTGGTTAGACTGGACTCAGCTGTCCCTGATATTTGACACACACAAATGCACACACAGACACAGACACACTCTCCCCTTCTCCCTGGCAAGCCAAAGAGGACTCCGGTCCTGGGAAAGAGACAAAAATATGTGAGAGAAGGAGGTGGGATAGGGTTAAAAAAAAAACCTAGTGATACTTCAAGGGTGAAATCAGTTCCTAAGAAGCCGCAGCCATCTTTGGGGGAAGGAGACCACCAGCAGAAGGCACCAGAGGTGGATCTGGTGGAGAAGGACAGTGGATCCCAGAGAGAATGAAGAAAGGGGATTTTATAACTGGGAAGAGCCTGATCATATCGCCGACAGAGGAGGTTCCTTAGGCTGGAGCATTCATCCTTCTGGAAAACTAGGGTCCTAACTTTTGTGCCATTTTCTTGCTGCCTTGGCTCATCGAAGAGCATCAAAATAGACACCTCATATCTCACTGACCGGGGAGCTCTTTCAAAAACTGTGGGGTAAGAAGCAGCACAAGTCTGCTTGCAGCTGGTGGACTTTGGAACAGAGAGATCCATCTCTGAACCTCCGGGAGTATGTCAGCCGTGCTGCAAGCCACCGATGGGAACGCCAAGGAAATGCCATCCAGAACACTGTCTGGGACGCCCAGCACAGAGAGCGGAGGTAAGGTGTTCAGGTGGAAAGAGTCCCAGCTCATCAGAGGACTTCAAAATGCTCAGCCCTGGAGCAGCTGGGTCTCTGAAGATCTGTGTCTGGGATTCTGTTGGTTAGTTCTAACTAGACCCAATGAATTAGTCAGAGAGTGGTGAGTTAAGGGCCAGTGTGGTGTAATGGTTTGGGCATTGGACTAGGACACTGGGAGACAGGGTTCCAATCCCCACTCGGACATGGAAACCCACTGGGTGACTTTGGAAACACACTCTCTCAGCCTCAGAGGATGGCAATGGCACCCCCCCCCCAAAGAAACCTCCCAAGAAAACCCTATGATAGGTTTTCCATAAGTTGGAAACAACTTGAAGGCACACAACAATAACAACAAATGAGTTAACAGTTAGACAAATCCATCCCATTCCATGGCTTGCTCTAGTTGTGACCATCAGTAGGATATAGGTCCTGATCCCAAGATCTCTTTGCTCAAATAACTTCCATCCTATACTTGCTGCTGGGTAGGGATGGATAAAAAGAACTGAAAGAGAACCAGGAGAGGTACAGTTTTCCATGATATGCACGCCAGTGCTTGGAAACATTAGTTTTTCAGATGTCAGTTCCCATAGCCTCCTAGCCAGCATGCTGGCTGTGGGTCTCTGGAAGCTGTAGTCTCAAACAATGTTTCTTGCGCTATCTGATATAAGGTGTGGGGACAAGTGTAAAAGGATAGGAAGAAAATGAGAGTATTATCCTTCCCCAGTTAGAATCTGCTACCTCCATGAAATTTTCCTTCAATCCCCAAATGTCTAGCTTTGCAAAGTATTAGACACTTACTGTGATCATATTCCCTATCTGCTGTGTTCTTATTCCCTTGGTAACATTGCCAGTTCCTTTGATTTATTCAGCTGTTTGATATTTGATGAAATGCTGAAAAATTGGAGACTGAATGAAAATTTCATGGAAAGGGGCAAAATTCTTATTTGGAGGGCAACGCACTCATTTTCTTTCCCTTCCCTGCCGAGGTATATATACCCTTTTGGGGGTTCAGCACCCTTTCCCCCTCTCACTGTGCCAGGGATCGGTGCTATATTTGTGCCCACTGGCCACAATTATTTCTTTCCTGGAAACTCTCCAGGGATGAGCAGATGAGGGAATGGCACCAGTCCAGAGAGCACCGCTTTGAGCAGCACTGGTTGAAAAGTTAACTTTTCTGAGCTCTATGACACACAGACTTCTTTTGCGTCCCTGGCACCTCCGGCTCAACATTTGCCAGATTTCTAACGCCAGCCGCATACTTACCTTGTCTTCATAATCAGCAGAGCTAAACCCAAATCAAAGGAGAAATTCTTGCTTTTTGTGCATCTGGGATTCCTCTCTGTGTGATTGATCGTGAATTCAGAAAGAGAAGGAAGAAGATGGTGGGTTTTTTTTTAAATGGAATAAGAATCTAAACCAATAGAAACTTGCAAATAAATTCTGATGGTGGAAATGAAGCAGATATGATGTAGGAGGCAAACTATAGTAGGGCAAGGATATAACATTTACCTTACAAAAAAAGTCTGTTATAATCTGCTTCTGTCTCACATTGCACCAACCCATATGCAACTGGTTTCTCTTTGTTTGATAGTTACCCTTTTAGAAATGTGTAGTGGAGTTTATGGGCTTTTTAGGTCCTGTGAGTTGTTCTTATCAGTAACCTCAGTTGCTCCCAGGCTGCAGAATTAATGCTGTCTGACACCGCTTCAACTGCCATGGCTTCATGTGTAGATGTGGCCCTTGTCTTTTTAAATCCCTCTCCAATATCTGTTCCAAATATACCAGGGAGGAGAAGTTGAGGGGTCTTTCAGCAAAACTAGAGACAACAGCCAGGGTAGGATTTTACCTTCCTCTTTAGATTAAAACAGATCCACTGCATGAAGGGAGTCTCAGGTCCAAGAACATCCAAGTTCCAGAGCTTTATGCCTTCAGCTAGCATGCCAAATTGTTCCTGGGGATAATGGATTATGTTTTGCAGTCTCTTTCCTCCGCAGTGCAATCTGTTTAAGCACTTGGGATTAGCTCAGGTTCAAGGAAAAAGCTTTTAAACTCCTGCTTATCTTCATTTCCTATCCTGCTCATAAACACTCCTTGCAATGTTTTGTGTGCCATCAGCAACTGTCGGAGGATGGAGCAATGCTCAGGACTGGCCATGCCATGAGGCGGTGGCCTCTGAGGGCAGGTTTTGGGTGGGAAAGGTTCAGCTGTTTAACATGTCATAATATTTCAGCATTCTTATTTGGAGGGGGCAATGCACACATTTTGCCCACCTTCTCCACACCAACACACTTGTGTAGCTACAGAGGAGAAAATTAATACAGCTGGAACCCTCAGTTTCCGGAAGGAATTACATTTTCCTTGTTTAAACTATACAGGGAATTGCTAGGATAGGTCCTGGGAATTCTAAAGAAAGGGTAAGAAATGATGATGTGTAGAAATGTAAATCCTTGACTATGAGGGGAGGGATAATTGTGGTAATTTTCTCCACATTGCAAGAGAAAATGAATATTCCTCCATTGTAATCTCCCTGTGGAAGACAGTGTGGCATAGTGGTTTGACCATTGGACTACAACGCTGAAGACCAGGGTTCAATTCCCCACTCAGCCATGAAACCCACTGGGTGACCTTGGGCAAGTCATATGCTCTCAGCCTCAGACTTTACAAAACTTGCCAAGAAAACTTCATGATAAGTTCGTCGTAGGGTCACCAAAAAATCGGAAACAACTTGACAGCACACAACAACAGCACCTCTCCCTGTATTTGAATGTCCTGAAATATTATGGAAGAATTATTCTATGGAGAGAAACTCATGGGTTTGTGGGTGTGGGTGTGCAGAAAACCCATTTCCTGCTCCAGAAACCCATTTTCTTCACATAAAATGAGAGTTTGTGCAAAACATCCACGTGTTTTTCTCAGCAGAATAATTTTTCTGCAACATTTTGGGCACCTACCCCAAAATTGCACAGAATTCTCGCCCATCTATTCTTGAATAATCATGAATATTCTTTCCAGTCCGATTCCAGGAACCAGTTTTCAGACCCTGGGTGTTGCACAGCCAACAAAAAATGCCACAGAAGCAAAAGCAAAGAAACCCAGAAACAGGCAGAATACCATTTTGGGTTTTTTTGTGTGTGTGTGTGTATGTGAAGGGGGGCTGGTATTTTTTATGTTAAACATCCATTATCCATTGTCCATGGGGTGGTGAGTCCATTTTAGATTGTGGTGTGAACCTTCAAGGAGTTATCTAAGGGGTTGGACCGATTTAAGGATGTGGTAGAGCACCTTGGATAGCTCCTTTAAACTTTGGACAGATAAACATAGAGCTGAATTGCCACTCCATGGATGTTGAAGCCACCAGCCAGTGGAGATGTCTTTCCCCTTCCATTATCACTGAAATAGCCTTTAATCTGAAGACTCTGAGAAGCACATTGTATTTCTAAAAGTCCCCTCCATGTAAGCGTGCACAGGGTGGATGGATGGATGGATGGCAGTCTTTATTATTCCTGGGAGACCTCAACCACCATAACTGCTGCAATGTTTTGTTCAAAGACATAGTCATGTTAGTCTGAAAAATCATTATGCAAAGGATCTGGTAGCACCTTTGAGACTAAATGTGCAAAAGATGCTGGTAGCATAAGTTTCATAGAGCCTACTTCCTCAGATGCATGGTGTGGAGCAGGGGTAGGCAACCTTTCCCCTTTAAGGGCGGAGGGACTTCAGCTCCCAGAAGCCTCAGCCATGTTGGCCAATAGTCCCATGTTGGCCAATAGCTCCTGGGATTCTGGGAGCTGAAGTCCCTCGGCCCTTAAAGGGGAAAGGTTGCCTACCCCTGGTGTGGAAGGTCCAGAGACAGACCTATAGAAGCAGGCTGTAGGTGAGCACAGCAGAAGAAATACAAAACTTGAGCTATAGGGATGAAGTGACAAGTTCAGTTAGATAGGAGAAAGGATATTGCCTAAAGCCAAGGTGAGTAGATAACCATATGAATGCGTATTGGGATGTAGTGCGAGAACCAAAAAGGAGATGTGAGGAACTGGTCAAGGGTGCTCTCATGAAGATGGGGGTTAGCTAGTGTTGAAATGTGTGTTGTGTGCCAGGAAACCATTGTCTCTGTTCAACTCAACTGTTGATGGACTGCAGTTTGTTAATATACATACTCCAATTCTGCTATTTCTCTTTCCAACCCTCTTTTTAGATTTCTTTTTGTTCAAGGACTACTGTTCTCAGGACTGAGATGGATGCTTCATAGTACTCAATCATTTAGTACACCCACCAGTCACCAGTCTTGGTGGTCCAGTTCTGCCAGATCATTTTGGGAGAGACTCAGTGCCCCCTCCAGCCAAGTCTTGGGTGGTTTGATCCCCCCTTTGCCACAGTGATCCAGGGTCTATGGGCATGGATTTGATACCCATTCTATGTGCTAACCCTTCCCTCTCTTCTGGTCTTTTCCAGGAGAGAATGGCGAGACCTCTCAGTGCAAATCT